GGTGAGTTGGTTTAGTTGTGCTTGCTGGGCATGTGAATGCTGATGAATGGTTATAGAATTCCGCGAATATCATTGTGCAGAACCGTGCAACGGGGCAGTTGGAGGAAGAGAAGATGCAAGTATATGTGAGGCTTGGGATTCGGTTGCTGTACAAGGGGGCAAAGAGTCAGATGGAAGGTGCTCGAGGTGCGTGCGTCCCTAGTATCATCAAGCAGGTGCTGACGGATATGTCCAGCCCGCAAGCTCCTGAAGTCGCTGTCGATCAAGCAGGGTGTCAAGTATGACTCGGCTCTTTCTGCTGCTGAGATCCCGGGCTTCATCGAGTTCCATAATCTCGACCTCAATGAAATCTTGGACCCTCTTGATTCATTCAAGACGTTCAACGAATTCTTCTACCGGTATGACACCACTCTTCTGCCTTTATCCTGAGGCTTACCCATTGTGAAGTAAACTGAAGAAATCTGCTCGCCCTGTTGAGGAACCTGAGAACCCCTACCGCCTCGTCTCTGCCGCCGACTGTCGCTTTATGGCCTTTGAATCCGTTTCGTCTGCCACGCAAATCTGGATCAAGGGACGTGACTTCTCCGTCGCCAAGCTCCTTGGACCCGAATACAAGGAAGACTGGGGCAGGTATGATGGCGGTGCTCTCGCAATCTTCAGATTGGCACCGCAGGATTATCATCGATTCCACGTTCCTGTCAGTGGTAAGATTGGTAAGATGAAGTATATCAGTGGGGAGTATTATACTGTCAACGTGCGTACCCTTCCTTGCGCGTATTGAGGAATGAAACGCTAATGTCGGTGTTCCAATAGCCTCAAGCGATCCGAACGGCTCTTGATGTCTATGGAGAGAATGCGCGCAAGATCGTTCCTATCGATTCGCCTCAGTTTGGGCGAGTCATGGCGGTCTGTGTTGGTGCGATGATGGTGGGCAGTATCGAAACGACGGTTGAGGAAGGACAGACTGTGAACAAGGGAGACGAGTTTGGCTATTTCGCGTTTGGTGAGTGGCGATAGGCAGATCGCTTTGCTTTTCGCGTTTCCTTCAAAAGGCTGTCGGTAACTAACGCTCCGCTTTTACAAAAGGTGGTTCGACAATTGTGATTCTCTTTGAAGCTGGTGCGGTCGAGTGGGACGAAGATCTTCTCATCAATGGACGCGCCTCGCTCGAGACCCTTGTTCGTGTCAATTCGGGGCTTGGAAGGGGGAACTCTGAGTTTAAGAGTTCGGTTCCTGGGTTGACGGGGTAGATGCTGGCTTGCGATCTAGATGAAAGGGGCCCTAGATCGATGGGTAAAAAGGAGGGCCCGGGAGAATATATGAACTAGGAATCAACGACTCTACATACAAGAAATGACTCACTGTGCCTGCTCGTACTTACACGCTTGATCTTTTGCTTTTCTACGGAAGTCCTTCTGCTGCTTTATTTCCATCAATCTTCTATTTCGATCCGCTCTCAGAGTCATGGTGTGCATCAATCCGTTGTCCATTAGGATGTGAGGTAGATATAGCATGCCAGAAGTTATCGTACAAGTCATCGAGGAGTCAGTATAGTACAACTCCTAATCACATCTCCACTCGGGCTAAACGAAGGTTAGTTAGCTCACTTCAAGATGCGAGGTTAGATAGCACGCACAGTTCGCGTTCCTGGGGGTAGAACTCTAGAGTAGGGCGGTAGATTTCCTAAGCATTCGGCGACGGTAACGAGGTTGTACCCCGCAGCTCTTAGTCGCTGGATGGCGTATGGCAGTGTCTCGTATCTATATGGCGCCATGAGCGTTGTTCCTGACGAGAGCCTACAGGTACTCACATGCTGCTGGCTGTGCGTTGAGGCAGACTGATGAGGAAGACTAAAGTCAGAAACGGGGGTGACAGACGCACCATGTACTTCGTGCTGTAATGAGAGGATCGTTTCGGGTCTTCGAGTTGCTGCTTCATCGTATAGATACCGTTGACGTTCGAGAGAAGCGCCTCGACCGTCTTCCGAGCTACGTCGAGGAGTTAGTAGAATGACTTCTCAGCAATACTGCCCCTGAGGAATAGGGACGCGGAGCCATACTGGGAGAGAGTGGAGCATAAAGAAGGCGGGAAGAAGGTACGCACTCGAAATCCCAGTTTACGATTGACTGGCCTCGAAGTGAGGCAGCTTCGAGAAGCATGTCGTTGTATTCCCCGAAGGCTGAGGAATATTAGTGACGCGTATTAGGGCGGAGAGAACACATACGAGGTCTCATGAATGCTGGTGTGACCCCTGCTATCCGCGAGAGTGCCTCTGAATGCAAGATTAACTCCTGGGGCTGATTGGCGAAAGACCATACGTACGCTCAACGCGCCACATTTCGTCATGCACTGGCAAGTATGTTATCATCTATTCGTGAACCACAGCTCCAAAAGGCCTACTTTGGTCCCAGGATAGCTCAGTCATTCGTTTATGGCCCCATGAATGCGAGGCGAGCTGGTGTCCACTTTGGTGAGCGTACTGGATTGCGCCAACCAGTTCGGGTTGGTAGATGCATGCCCAGTTGTTCCCGTCTTTGGGATGGATGAGGATAAGTCGCCGGAGGTTCAGAAGACACGTACTAAAGAAAAATGTGCCCTTTACTCCTGCTGCATTCAATATGCCAACAGTATCGGCTCTAGGGAAACAGGGCGGATGAGATTCAGCCCAACAGGTGGATGTGGTACGTACAGATGATAATACGGCCCATCATCCTGGCAGAAACGGGTCAATAGGGTACGCTCAGGTACACGTTTCGATGACACTCACGAATGTCAGAGCCACGGTATTGGGAACTGTACATCTTCTGAACACCGAAGCCGGAGCGCGTTTCTGGTTGGTTTTGGCATATGTCAAGGGTGCGACCGCGATCAGAAGGCCTAGGACCGAAAAGAGCCAGTTGCTCCGCATTGCAAGACCGAATTATAGGAAGGGAGGGAGGGGTGACACGAGAGGAAAGAGCAAGCGAATACCAAGAGCGCGTGTCATCGATGTTGGCTATTTACAAGCCCAGCCTGTGATGTTGAACCATTGATCCCGCCGTTCACATGAGCTCAATCAGGAAGTTTGTTCGATTGGGCGATTGGCGTATAGTTGAGAAGTCCTAGTCAATGCTGAGGACCCAGTGGCTTTCGAAGCCGACGGACCATAATGGACTGAGTTGCATACAACATTGTTGCAGAGGGGGCTAAAGTAGGCAGGTTCAGGCTGGGTGGGCGATCCCACTGCAACGGTCATGATGCGGATCATTGCATCATCAGCAGGGTCCCAGAGTCCCACCCCTGTTTCGTTGAGCGTTTAATTCTTGCTGGCGAAAAGGCGCTAGCTCAGGGGAGCAGCGATCCTTCATAATTTGCTGTTCTTTTATAACGCGAATATGAGCACATGGCCTGGTTATCAGTATGACTCCTTCCTGGCCCTTGCGAGACTCTCTTCTACGTCTCAATCTCCTTCGTATCATGTATGATGACCTACCACCTCGTTCAGTAGTTACTTCGTCACTTCTCCCAGGTAAATAGCAGCATCTCAAGATAGGTATTACATTAACGGTTTATTGGAAGCCTGGGTCGCTCATTTTCTTGGAATCATTTGTCGACCCGCTGAGGGTTCAATTCCCTGTTGATGTACTCGTAAAGGTGCGTTCACATTTTTAATCATACCTATTGGCGTGTATGCTAATCCTCTCTCCTCACACTTTCCTCCTGATAATTAAAGCTCTTGGAGTGAAACAAGGAGGAGAATCATGGTGCACGTCTCCCTTGTTCGTCTCGCCATGCAAGGTGTCGTCCATGCCGTGGGTTCGATTCCCTCTTGATACCGTCTGAAGAAAACGACTCCTCTTGAATTTTTCATCTCCCTTCTTAACACTTCGATGCATGCCAGACCGTAAAGGTATCCATACGTTCGCTAGCTGAATCCCAACCCACCGGTAACACCTGTTCGAAGCGACGTCCAGCTTTTGTCTGTGATATCGGCTGCCAGTTTTTCCAAGGAGCATTGAATAGGTGGGATAGTGAGAGATAAGACTCTTGGATCACTGTATACTAGTGCCCTCTCTCTTAGTCGGCACTCACATCAATCAGTGAATAGCCTCTTCACCCATCTTCGGAACATCTTGCCCTGTCATTCAGCCCTTGTTCAGCCCTTCTGCGGTTGTTGTACACCAGATGCTGAGCGCGTACCGCATTAATGGGTTAGTGGTCACCTGGGTCGTCCACCTTCAGGACCAAGGCCTCGAAGTCCGGTATTTGTCGGTCTCGGAAACGAAGTTGGATTGGGAGTGAGCACAATTATCGACAAATTCGCTCTTGGAGTCACTTTGAATCGCGGTCGAATACTGCAGGTTGAATTATTGAGAACGTAGAATCCTAGCTGCTAGTTGACTTCTCCAAAGACCGATGTTCGAGGAGCGCCGGTGACGATGACGAGCACCCTTGTGCCAACCGTGCGGAGTGGGGTGCTGTCGAGGATTATGGATGAAAGACAAACGCCCGAGATGGGGCGGGCGATCCCACACATTGATCGATGATGCGGATCATTGCATCATCTGCAGGGTAGCATCCCAAACCCCTGTCTCCTTGGGCGCCTAATTCTTGTTTGCGGACTTGACCAGGTTCCAAGGAGCAGTTATCCTTCGTAATTTATTGTACTTTCAGTATAAGCCCCTTTCAAAAACACGGCCATTGGGCTTTGTTCTACATCCCGTTCAGTCGTTCCGTGGTCGCTTTCCACAGATATATAGAAGCATCTCTAGAAAGCCCTTACTACATTCATGGTTTAGTGGGAGCCTGGGTCGCTTATTTCCTGGGAAATCATTCATAGACCCGCCGGGGGTTCGACTCCCTCTTGATGTACTGATAATAAATTTCCATACACACTTTTTATTTCTTCAATCATACCTATTGGTGGTTTTCCGGTCCTTTCCCCTTTATCGGAAGAGTGACGTCCACCCACCCCGCCTTGTTCAGTCTCTTGGTAGTTCCTGGGCCTGGATGCGTGTATAACATTAATGGGGTAGTGGTAACCTGGGTCGTTGATTTATTCGGAATAAATCCTGTTTGTCGACCCGCCGGGGGTTCGATTCCCTCTTGATGTACTACGTTGTGTCATGTGGTTAATTTCTTTTGTCAAATACTTCTTACACCATCACAATAAGCGTTCAAAACGCCAGCCCTTGGTCACCACTTTTCCCTCTCACACACCGATTTCCTACCATTGAGAGTTTTTTGAAAACGAAAAAGAGCAACCTTGAGGCAGCGGTCTCCCTTGCGTGTTTGATTGTGTGAGGTGAGGAGATCATGCCGTGGGTTCGATTCCCTCCCGATGCTATCCATTGCCGCGATTTTTGGCTCTCCCCGACTCCCCAGCCAAGCTGTTATATATTCCGAATCGCAAAGGTCGGTACGTCTTCTGGAAGAACCTTACTCCCCTTTGGTCCAGGGTCGCCTGTTTTGTCCCCTAGGTCCCTGTCCACGTGGGCAGCTATTTTATCTTGTTTTCATCTTACATATGGGCTAGTTCCGTGAAGCATTGAAAAGATGGGAGGGTGAACTATTTCATGGCTTCACCTCTATCGAGCGCTCGCGTCAGTCAGTGAACAGCCCTTCCATCCATCTTCGGAACGTCTTGTTCTGTCTTCCTGTGACTGTTTCACCCAGGATTTGAGCCAGTCGGGCTCTATGCATATCGCATTAATGGGGTAGTGGTAACCTGGGTCATTCATCTTCAACATTCGAATCAGAGTCCTGTATATGTCGACCTGCCGGGGGTTCGACTCCCTCTTAATGCATAGAGGCCCTTTTCCGGTATATGCCTGTTTTTTCTGAGCTGTATGCCTGTATCTGATTGTCCTCTCGCCTGTTGTCGGTTTTAGGCCTTTTCAAAGCAATCAAGGACAGCATTTCGTGGTGCAATAGCTATTTGGTATCCAGCATAAGTACTCGGGGCAGCTGCTCGGCACGCCACAGTGTCCAGAAGCCACCGATTTAATTTCTTCCAAAGGTGTCAATGGACGAGTCGTAGTTTGGCTCAATCTAGACGTCGGACTGAGCGTTGGCTGCAGAGGGTTCGACTCCCTTGAAATGCCCTATTTTCTCTCAGGATCATGATGTTTTTTTTCCCTCTCTGCTTCCTGTCTTTGCCAATTTGGAGGTCCTCATCGAAACGCAGAGGCGTGGGTTTGAGGACTTCAGGTTGGATGAAGGGTAAGTAGTAACTGAGATATACCAGACAGAGCGAGTGGATGCCGTGCCCAGCGTAATTTGGAGGGCCTGACGATGCAGCTGCGAGCGCACACTTGCCATTGGTACGCAGTAGCGTACTTGCATCTACTTCCCTGAGCTCCGGCGGTCGACTATGCACGCCGCCTTTGTCTTGAACCTCCTGTGCTGAAGGTCTGTGGACGGTGTTAGTCTAACTTGGTCTGCCGTCAACTTGCCTGACAAATGCGCACAAATTAGACAGTGGTACTTCTGTATTCGGAAGTCTTGACTCTTTGCTCAGGGTTCGATTCCCTATGATTGCGATAGATCGGCTCCATGTGTTTTTTATTCGTCTCCCTGATAGCTCATGCAATGACCCCTGGCAAAGAGACATTGGTACTATCATGCAATTGCGCAAATGTATTAGAAAAGCAATACATAGACGACCAAAGATGAGCGAAAATCTTGGGATTGCGGAGCTGATGCGAGTATGCAAACCAATGGGCTACTGAGGGCCTTCTCCCTCCTTACTATCGAAGTCAATCTACGCTGTTATTTATTCTCAGCAGACAGTGATGAGATATTGGTCGCTTGTGGCTGGAATAGCAAACGCCCCATAATGATAACCAGCAGGGGTTCGGTATTCTTGAATACTTCCCTAGGGATGGGTTCGTTAACCAAGGGTCCATCGCTTTGAGATGGATTGGGTGCTCCCATGTAACGCTGTGATTCATACAGCGACAAAGGCGTATGCAAGGGTCTTCTGTAGTTCTTCGAAGAGGCTATGTAGAACGCCTTCAAAAGAGACATCATGCCTTGATAAAAGGTGCTTGTTGAGTATGTCAATGAAGTGGCCGTGGACTATAAAAAGGGATGGTTCCCCCAAAGCGGACTGAAAAACGCAATGAGAACAAGTAACATGGCTCCGAGCCCGATTATGATGGCAAAGCCAGCCGGGACAACCCACAATGTCGCAAAGGCGACTTTCATAAACCATGACATATCGTCGAATGTCTTCCACGGCTCGTAAACTCCGAAACCCCATAGACCTATCCACCCGCCAGCGAATAGGAAAGCCACGACATGGCTAACAACATAGATGATTGATATTAGCAAATTGAGGACTGATGCAGACAAGATGTCAACTTTAATTCGCCAGGAAATCTAGCTCAACTACTCACGCACATTGCGCAGCCCTGTACTTGCCTGAAGAGAGATGTTGGATGAAGGCAAAGACTTCCAGATCCATTCTACCAACCCAGTCCGCTCATTAGGGTCGTCCGCTTCTCGCCTTGGCCATGACCAAATGCAAGGAATGCAATCACCGGCCTTCCCTGCGATCGGCGCTAACAACGTTCCCAAGGAATATACGAGGTACAAAGGTCCACCGACTCCGATTGGTAGCCAAATGATTGCTAACGACAACCAAAGCATTGGAAGTAATACGTTCGTCAAGAGTTTATCGATCGGCGTCGAGGTGGGTTGACCGGGATCTTTCTCTGGATTGCCGGACCAGACGTCGCGAGCCCCTAACGCCCAGAGGTAGTTATAGCGAGAGGTGAAAGCGAGGCCAAGGAAGTGCATCAGAACAAGGAACAACAGGCGAGAAATGGAAAGCACTAAACGTCCCGTTACTACGTAGGCAGCGAGGTGCACCCATTATGATCTCACATTGCTTTCCATAATCTTCCTCAAACAAGAGCGGTAAAACCCGTGTCGTGCTGGCTTCGTATAGCCCAAGGCAATAAAAGCTATAGAGGCAAATGCGTAAACGTCAAGAAAAGCAATCTGCGTGATAAGAAGCAGCTCGAAAGCCTGGCTTACACGACGGTGATTACAACCCCAAAGACCCATTCTATTGTGGTTGGCTCTGTTGACTTTCCCTTGAAGGATAGCGCAGCCTTTAAGGAGCCGACCCCAACGACACAGAGGGTGACCAAGAATCGGTAGCCTGTGATTGGAGGGTGCTTCGGCTTGAGAAGGAGACGGGTATCGACCTCTTCTGTTTGGTACCTCGGAGGGCGGATGGAAATGCGCCTTAAGAACCGCCAGACCAGGTTCATGGTGTCGAGCTTAAAGAGCCATCTGGGTCGGGCATCTTCCCTTGACTCTACGTTGTTGAAAATCAGGAATCTAGGTAAAATCAAGCAGCCATTTGATGCCATTATTAGCTGGGGGCGTACATGATGAACAGCACAATCGTCATGACCCATTCGATTGTCACTGGTGCAATAGTATCACCCCGGTACGCCGTTACTGCCTTTGCAGTTCCAAGGCCAATCGTGGCGAAGATTACTAGGAGGCGAGCGCCGGTGAGCTTGGGATGCCATGAAGAGGTTACAAGGTTCGAGCTCTCTGGCCAGGGAGGAACATCGAGTTCGATAGGGCACTCAGAGCTGCCAATCGCGATATTTGGGGCGGAGGGGCTATGGTTGGACATGGTACAAGACTTAGTTAGAAGGGAAAGGCAAGCAATTAGTCGACTGCGCTTGGGGGGCTATGCACCAAGTATTCTGGCTGTCACCCTGCCAGGGACAAAGGAATGGCAATGAGATCGTCATCCCACCCAGCCCTTGATTTGGGCTGCTGAGGGGGTCGTGAATTACACACAAACAGCAGACATCAACATTGTCCTCTGGCATCCAGGGGGTGCTGAAGGCCAGTGCAGGCGTTTCGGCGATTAGCTCGCCGTTACTATCTAGGTTTTGTATATTCGCGAATCCAAAGCCCTCATAGGCATCCACTTTCATGGGGGCATAGCTCAGTTGGGAGAGCAGTAGACTGAAGCGTGAAAGCGTATTCTAAAGGTCCCGCGTTCGATCCGCGGTGCCCCCATTTTTGAGTTGGGGATACACGTTCATTTTTGTTTTTGGGGGCTCCATTCCGTAGGGGATTTTTGTACGTTTCACTTCCACAGTGAGAAACGGGAAGCCATGATCAAGGCAATCATGCAGCCGACAGGGAGTTGGATCCACCTGAACCTGGATCGAACGATTCCTTCCGTGGATCGAAGTTTGCAAGGTTTTATTCGGAGGCCCGTTACGCTCATCATGTAAAGTTTAAACGTCAAACGGTCATTAATACTTAATACTTTGACTGTTTCTCAGGATCGAATTTTAGCTGCTGAGTGCGATACCTCGAGGCGACATGTTCGACGAATTACCCCAGAACCCACTCAGGGTTGTGACACAGGACCAAGAGCCCAAAGAAACCCACTCACCTACCACTGAATGGTGGTGCATCTGTCCCCGCAGCAACGCCGGTGGCAGCGTGATAGAAAGAAGGAGGAACAGGTGACCTGGAGCGGGACTACTGGCGGAGTCTTAACTATTCGCTTATAACAGGCTTGGATGACTTTTCTCCCTTGTCTCTTCTCCCTCTCCCCCGAATCCAAATTTCCCGTTGTAAGCACGCCGTTACGGTGCCTGCCTGTGACTCCTTTCCTCACCTGTGTCTTGCAGCTCCTTTTTGAAATCATGTCCGCCAAGATCTACGTCGGGTTCGTGCTGGTTATCGTATCGCATCGTTGATCGATGGTCGTCGATTCTCCTCATCGTTTCATTTTTGAGGAATGGAACCTTGAGGAAAGATAACACGATTGTACTAATACATGCCTTCTGAATAGTAACCTTAGTTGGAACACGACAGATGAGACTCTGCGCCAGGTCCGTAGCCCTGTACAAGGGTGTCCCATATACATGAACAAAATCCTCAATGTGTTTTTGAAATTATCAGGCATTCTCGGATTATGGCAACGTTCTCGATGTGCGCTATCCTCTCTCTCTATCTCTCTCTTTTGTTTCCCCATCTTTCCTGCGCTTTTGTACCTTCTCCGAAGGCATGTCGTGTGCTTGCGCTCGTCGTCCAGAGAATCCAGCATACCCTCGTTGATCAA